ATAATAATTTCAGGAAAAAAACAAACTGTTGAACAGTGAAGGGTAATCTGTCACTTACTGTCATAAGAGCCTTTTGTAAATAACATGTCAATGGCGATGTTAAAGGAGGTCGCGTCACTGAAAAATCCTCTCATACTCTGTTCAGACAAGTGAGAAGAAATGTTACCAGCTCAAGTCGGCTCTAAGAAAATGATCAACCCTGTCTTGTTTTCCCCCTTATGGCACTTTATCAATAGGTTTGGGTTAATGTAATGTTTTACCTTATCTGTAAGTGTAACAGCAGCCAGGTCCTCCAGACCCAGTTCATAGCACAGTCTCATGAAGAGAGGACCAAACTTGAACTCCCCAGAAACCAAGTTCCGGTTCTCTGTGTGATATCTTGTGTGAATGCAAATTAAAAGATAATTTATACATAATTAAGATACAAAATAATAGTCAATGCCACAGTGAATATGTTTTTGCTCTGTGAAGTGGGTCTCATTTCCTTCTAGCTAATGTTTGTGAAAGAGCAGAGTATGTGAACACATTTTGTGCTGAAATGGGCTAATTTAGGTAAGTGGGTTTATGCTGTACAATATTGTCAATAACGGACGAACTATACCTATAAATGGCATCTCTGGCTATCACCATGTCATCTGCAGACTGGCACAAGTGAAGGAGAAGCTTCAGTTCATCTCTAAGTATCAGCTCATTCCTTTGCAGCTTCTGACTGAATAGCTCAATATAATTGCCTGTAAAAGGAGGTGAAAATATGAGCAATTGTGTATCATAACACATGATGTAGAACTGCAGCTTATAGGGACAGGAATACTTTACCTTGTGATCCAGTGACAAGGTGAGCCACAGCCAGCTTCCTTTGCTGGAAATCTTGTAGTTTGATGACATCTTCTGACAACAGATGCCTCTTAGCTGCAGAGAAATTAGTTTTTCAGAGTAAGGGTAGACAAAAATCAACTCAAAAAAACCTTGCTCCACTGAAAAGCCCTCATACTAATTTTGCCTAGCTGGACAGTTTTTACTTATGCCTAGTTTTGGTGGAATTTTATGAACTGTTAAAGAAACGTTGCTAATCAGGACCTTTGTACACATAACTGTTATGGGCTATTTACAGGGTGCTAACGTTAGCTTCTCTGTCTGTAAACCAGCCCGTTGTAATGGTCAGATAGGACACACGTTGAGGACTTTTGTTTGTTTTACCTCCTATGCAGCCTTCAATCCAACCTGGCTGTAAAACACCACAAAACACCCCTTTGGTGGGCTCACGTAGTAACGACCGACAACATTTGGAAATCCTGGCCAGCGCCATACTGTCCACTGACTGTACCATGGAAATGAAAACAAAGGGGATGCTGGAGGACTTTATGTGGACATATTATGGAGATTTTAACGCCAATTACGGCCCGAAATAGTAAATCATATTTTAAAATGTACTGTAAATATTCTAATACTTGAGTCAGTGCGAGTAGCCATTTGTTTGAATTTTGTAATACGCGCTAACCAGTTGGTATCATCCAATATGGCAGCGCCCGAGAATTGCATGCACCTACTGTTTAAAAATGTTCTTTGTGGGGTTCATCAATGGTGATAAATGATTCGAAGTATTTATTTTATGAACGTTTAGAGTCATCAATATTTATTACACTTAGTAGTAGAAGTCAGTAGAACTGACAGCAGCCATAGAGGTATTTATCTATTAAACTGCAGGTGGTGCTGTTGTACTGTACTTCAAACATGTCTGATGAGTTTGCAGCTGTCAGGGAGTTTGGAACACAATAACGTAAAATAACCACAGACAGTATAAAATAAGTAATAACGTACAAGAAATTAGTGTACCTTTGTAGTTTTAGTTGTATTGTTGTCATTACATACATTTTGCTACAGTATATTTTATTTGTTCAGTGATGATTTTTTTTATCCCACCCCTAGAATACAGGCTTAACCTTACCTTAGACCTCCATCACTTTTGACTCTTTAAGTTGGCACTTATATCTTTTTGTACCTTTCTGCTCATGCTTTTTAATATAAATTAATTTTCTGTTATGCTGTCATGTCTGCTCCAATTGAAGATACCCTTAGAGCAATGAAAATTAAACACTGAAATGAAGAACAGATGAACAGGTAAAGGCACATTATAAGGACGCCAATATTAATGCTAAATGCTAAAAATGCTAATCTGACCTATTTTTTCAGGACTTGAAAATGTCAGTGCTAAATTTCACAGACGAACATTCATATCTTAATATGTATTGTTGTATTATACAGGCCATATACAATATGACGATTTCTGCATTGTAGGCTACATGTCCTAGCATGATGCTACCTTACCCATCTAAGTTGCTTGTTCTGTTCATTTACTTCATATTTTGATTTCTCCATTTCTAATTTTACATGTTGTGTGCTTTATTGTTGTTTTAATGGCTAATAAAACATCTGGCCAAGGACCAACAGTTGATAAAACAGCATTTTGGCTGGCACATTAACAGTAACAAAATGTAAATTATACATTTTCAAGACAAACATCGTGTCAGACATTCCACCTCCAACTCTAAAACGTGTTTTATGAAGAATGTTACTGTTTTAAATTGTCACACTTTTATCCTTTATGGCTTTATTTAAATTCTTTATGTGACTGTGTGTGTGATCTACTGCACTGCCATTTTGGACAGTTCTCTCATGTAAAAGAGATCATGTAACCTCTTGTAATCTAAAGAGGCTTCCTAAATAAAGGTTAAAAACATATGCATTGTTTTGAATAGGTCTGATTATGACTACAAATACCACAGCCATGGTTTGGTAACATATTTTAAACCAATTTTTTTAGGACCAAACTCTGCCACTAGTTAGTGTGCCCATTGACCTACACAGCATTACACAACCAAGGACTTATATTATTAAGGAGTTCTGCTGCATTTTCTCTGTGAAGGTCATGTTGTGGTCATACATTTGAAATTCAACTCTATATTGAAATACTTTGTAGATAAAACCTGACTCCTTGTAGCTACATTGAATACTTCTATAGTATCAGAACTCTGATAGTAGTGAAGTAAAGTCTTATTACGTTGTTTATCATATGCATGTTTTCCTTGTTTCCTTGGTGTGATCTGCTGGCAGTGAGTAGACTTATGTGCAAACATAATTGCTAAACTTGCAGCCATTTTGAGAGGTGAATTGAATGTAAATTGTTAAAAAAACAAGACAATGATTAAGGTGCTTCTTAAATTAACTCCTAAGATAGACACACTACAGAGAAAATAGGGCTAGGACAGGGAGGTTCCCCCTGTTGCCGTGGCAACAAGATCTCAGCCCATCCAGTTGAGATTGCTTGCTTAGCCAATCAGACAGGGCCTTGGATAATTTATGGTATCTTGCAAGGTGGATGTGTCTCTGCGGGTCTTTCACTCCCTCTCTCTCTCTCTTTCTCGGCCTTTCTGTGCAAATGTATGTATGTTTGCATGAATTTAAAAAACAGGTTTTCCAGCGTATTGCTCATCTACAGCTACAGGTTAAGGTTTTAGTGAGGTGGCAGCTTATGTTAGGTTGCTCAAATAATGAAATAATCCAAAGGGAAATATAGTACTGTTAGTCAGAGTGTCTATTTTAGTGAACCAGGTTCTGCTGTCAGATAGCAGCTCTTACATCTTTTTTGATTTATCCCTGTGTGCACTTCCCTTTGGTTTTGGAAAGTGCCTGGGGTGTCCCATCATCATTAATAAATGTCCCCACTGAAACAGTTTTGGCACAGAAAAAAAACAGCTGGTACTGTCACTGTGTCAGACAGTGTGCTACCGTTCTAAAGTCACTCTCCATGAAAGACAATTGAATAGGTTACCTTCCATCTAAAGCAAGACTTGTGACATGCATTTACATTCATGCCTATTCACTCAGTGACTGACTTTGAACCAAATCATAATAGATGCGTAGATGCGTGTTGAGTTTGGATAAATAGCAAGGATGCTCTCTCATTTGCATAACTTGTGTATAATAATTTAACACAATATGAAAGGAAATATAAAAGCTTTCCATTTACTAGTGCGCACTATATTTGCTGAAACAGTTCTGAGAGACTGACTTGCAAGCTTGATGTTCACTTGCTGAGAGACATCAGACGTGGACTCGTGGTCCCCCACTGTACAACAAATAGATCTTGAATTGTGAAGACATGTCCTCTTATCCTGCTCTGCTCTCTCAGTCAGTATCCCTGGGGTGTCTGATTTAAGAGGTCCTTCAGTCCACCACATACTAAATTATACTCTAAATTGATGTTATTTTTCTCATATCCTTCTGACATGTTTCATGTTCTAAATATCCTTATATATTTTTAGATCTGTAAATTTGTAATACAATGCATATATTTCATTTATTTGGTATATTTTTTTCATTATGTCTCTCCTTGGCTCAGTACTTCTGCCTCACAGCATAGTCTTGGATTTAAGCAAGTGCTGATTGCAGCCAGTTTACATGTTCTCCCATTAAAAGCGTTGACCACAAATGTTTGTACAACATTTTGTAACAATCTACATATTCTGTCCAATAGTTTTTGAGATATTTCAGTCTGGACTGAAGTGGTGGACCAACAGATCGACTAACATTGCCATCCCTAGAGTCTTGCCCCTAGCATGGCATAAACATTCGACACTCTCAGGGACACTTGAAAAAAAGAAAACGACTTCCCTCCTGGGCCACATCGTCACTTTCATCCAATCATCTGTGTGCACATGACATGAACTTGGCCTGCCAATGTTCTCCATCCTCATAACACTAGCATGGCTGTGGACTTTTGGTCTTGTTTAGTAGAATTGTAAAGGTATTTAAACAGTTGAATCATCTTTATAAAGTCATTATTCACTTCTAAGTGAGACATTGGAACTTCTCATTTGCTAAGGTTTATGATTCTGTACAATGAACCAGACACAGTGGAAGGAGCTATATTATAAGTAACTTTATAATACTTGATAAAACAACTGGGCTCTATAAATAGATTAAAAAAAAGTCAAAGACAATTTCTTTTTCACAACAGATTTTATTGTGGTTGTTTTTGAATGTTTTGTTCTTTAGTAGTGGTTCCTCTTACATCAGATTCGCCATAAGGTTAGAGGAAGTATTGCACACAAACATCAGAAAGCACTAAGGAATACTTTCACTTGAAACTAATTGCTATAGGTTACATATGAGTCTGGGTAAGGGGCAGAGAGGATGCAAGATCACAAGACAAATATACCACACAGCTGCAGACAAACATTATTAAAGTTCTCCCAAGAGAAAGATAAGGAGAAAAAGGCAGAGAGAAATAGAGGAAGTTTAGAGAAAGAAGAGAAAAGAGAAATGTCAGTTCAAGAGAAATGTCAGTTCAGAATTTGTAGGTTTGTTGTGATGTTACTTCCCATGCAGGAAAATATGGTATTGTGAACACCTGACATAATTTCAGAAATATCTGGTGAGCTTGGTGATTCGATTGAATAGTCCAAAGTACCAAAGCCTGTAATCAGAGTTGTGATTTGTTAAATGTTTCTCCAGAAGCTGACTGTCAATGTTGATCTCTGGCCTCTGTACTGTTAGTTTGGTATGTGTCATGTTTGTGTTTAAAGTGTCTAGTTTTAGTTTCACAAGCTTTCATCTAAAACACACAAGTCACTCACTCTCACCTCTGGGTGCTGTCCCGCTCGAAACTATGCCTCTATAGGAAGCTGTTTCCTTTTCATCCTGGCTGAAGACCAGAAATTCTTATGTCACAAGAAATGCTCAGCCCACCAAATTGATCACATCATCCTGAAAGTCTACACTGTTCTACACCCACATTCAAGTTTTATACTGATACAGTGCCATTGGCAATCGCTGGAGTTACTGTAGTATACAATGTCATGGCACAAATTGCAAAAATCCTAAAATGCTCCTTACATTTATTTAATTAGCCTATTTAGCCCTGTTGTTCTTAATGCAAATCTGAGCAAAATCCCCATTAAAAAAAGAGCAAAAATCCTAATGTATCATAACTCATGCATGTCTCCAACCACTCCATCGGCCACAAAGTTATTTATAATTATAGTACAATGCTTTAGAAAAACAAGACATTTTAAGGTTTATGAAAATATCCTGCCTCACCAGCTTTATGATGGGAAAAGGCTAGCTCCCCCATAGCTCAATGATTACATAAAAAACGGATATAAGAAATAAGATCAGATTTTTCTCTTTTTGAAATAACTTAAATCTTTGAATAAAACAGACCATCTGAAATAGAAGGCAATCCTCTAAAAAGTGTTACCATTGTGGAAAATCATAAGATTTTACAGATGTAACAAAAGCAAGGGAGAACATTCTGAAGCAACTTAATGTTGCACATCGTAAAAGGCTATCTCGACAACCCTAATCCTAACCCTCAAGCACATTGAAATTTAACGTAATAAATTAATATTCATACATCAGCAGCAACATGCACCGAACCAAACGAAAACTTAAAATCCAGTCAAATCAAATAAAACCCAACTGACTTAAAAACAACAGTTTCACAATGGTTGGGGCAATTTGTCTTGCCCGTGATGAATATGAAGTCAAACATCATATTAATGTTAATCAGTGTTGAGAATTATTTCAAGTTAATTTATATTTACCATTCTTTGTAGCCATTCAACAGTCCTTTTTGGGACTGACCTCTTGTGTGTAGAGTTACCTGCCTACTCTTCTGCTAGTTGCACCAGTTCTCATACATTCATTTTGACTCCCTAAGGCAATAACAGAAAACAACTTGTTTTATTATTTGGTGTAGATAACAGCCATAGTTCATGAATGTACCATTTGCAGAAGAAACAATACATCATCAACAACATAATTACTTGATCTGCACTAGAGTTAGCATAATTGGACACAAATGGCTTGGCTGGTTTATGGGTTTCTAATTTTAACCCAGTACACTCCATTTATACCTAATCAGATAACAACTTGACGGTATCAAGGATGTTACTTACTTTATATAGGACACAATGTCCTTTGCATGGAGCCCCTCAAAGCTAATTTGATTTTAAAGTGTTAGTCCTCATTGCAGATATTAATTTTTTAGATTTTTAGTATTTAGTAAGTATAATTTTTGCACATACGTGTTTAAGTGTCTGCTTAGGTTTGATGCTACATGGATTTGTTTGTCTCCCTCAAATAGTGATCCCTTTCTCATCAGTCATTAGGCCTCCTGATCTCTTGTTGAACACGCCTACATCTCTATCTTGCAAGCTGGGAAGGACTCATCCTGCATGACGACAGTGCTGCTGCTGGCCAGGACCATGATGTTGAGCTCCTGCTGCTTGTCGTGGGTCTCCTGGTACCACTCCCTCATCACATCAGTGTCATGGGTTGGAATCAGTGTTACCTGACACCAGAGAGGAGGGAGGTCTCTTAGCTCAAGCATTCAGAGAATTCAAGTATCATCGTTGACTACCAAAAGTGATCTTTGTCTTTCTGCCTCTTCTTCCATTTTGATGTTTGCATGCAGACTTCACTAGTATTACTACCAGGGTTTTAACAGAGAAATTAAAACATGGAAAGTTATTTATGTCCTTTTTGTGGCAGGAAATTTTGATTTGAGCTTGGTTTATTCTAATTGATTTGTTTTCATTTACAGCAGCTATGTACTACATACATGATGAAAAGAAGACCAAAGAGCCAGCCAAAGTTAAGTTATTATAACGTACAGCATAATTGTTACATTTTAAACATACCTGCAAATTGTTTCCCCAATGAGCCTTTCCCTCCAGCAGAGCATCAAGGACATCCCTACTGGGCTCTTGAGCTGTCTGATCATTGCCACTGACCACATAGTAAGATGAGCGCACCCGCTTAAAGAACTCAGCATCCACATTCTTGGCACTGCAGTGATTGGGGATGTAAACCAAATCCATGTACATGGGAGGGCAGTTGGGCAGAGATACCCCACCTGACACCTTTCCACTGCCAGTACCTGAAAGAGGAAAACATATACCTTAATCTCAGATAAGTTCTCAACAAATCTGAGCAAGTTATGTGAAATAGAATGATGGCAATCAGTAAATAGCACTCACCTGATGTGGCACTTTTTACACCTCTGGATGCAGATGTATTGGTTGCATTTTTGGCATCTTTACCTTCTCCGACAGTCTTCTTTGGAGAGGAAGTCTTTGAATCCTTCACTTTTGATAGAACTGTCTTCCTGGCTGGCGAAGAAGACTTTTTCACGAGCTTTTTCTTCTTGGGCTTTTCACCTCCATCTGTATTAGCATTGTGGAGATTTTCCTCAGCCTTGAGGGCTTCTGGGTCCACCATGCAGACATCGTGGTGGCCTGAAGATGGAGCAGAGTCCCTGAGTGCCACCGGAGGAGGATCAGCATGCCTGTAGGTAAGGGTCCTGTCAGTAGGCAAAGTCTCAGAGTCATCTTCAGAGTCAATGTTAGCATCTGCTGTAATGGAGGGGCACTCCTCTGTCCCTGGGGGAACATCTGAATCTGTCTGGGAGGGGGCAGATTCACTGATGGATGTGGGTGGGGTCTCCTCACATTGCTTGGCAGAAAGCTTCCCTCCTGGGGGTGGGGGTCCTCCTCCTAACTTGGACAGTGGCTTCTCCTCATCCAGGGTATTCTCTTCACTGATGAAGTATTCTAGAGGGTTAGGGTTGATGAAAGATGGTGATAGTTCTGTCTTGGGGTGACGGTACTCACACGAAGTGACTAGGCAGAGGTCAACATCTGTCTTAGATGAAGCAGAGGGGCTCTTCTTAGTAGAGTCTGGGTCCCTGGAGCCACAGGCAGAATTGTAATTACACGGATCAGAGGAGAGAGGTAGATATGATGGAAAGGGAACTTTGGGGCTCGAAGGGGATTTTGCCTGAAGTGTAGAATCCTCACATTTAAAGGGATTTGTCTCCTTTGCTGGGGAAAAGGTCTCTTCTTTTGAAAAGTAAAGGAAGATGATGGGGAAGTAGCTTTGGGAGGTGAGGGTGACTTGTCACATTTCTGCTGTGTGTCAGATTTATTAGAAATGCTGTCCACACATGGTGAAATTGGGCTGGTGATATCTTTAGCTGGGGGACATCCTAGAACTGGAGATGGCTCATTGGAATGGGGAGAGTGGGTGAGAGAGGATGCCTTTGGGGTGACTGGAGACTTATCTGTCTGCTCAGCCATAGCATGTGGTATCTCTGTCATTTGGCATGGGGTTGTAACAGAGGGAGTGGACTGAGATGCATCTGATGGGGTGGCAAGGACTGAATCACTTTCGTCTAAAAGCAAAGGCTTTTCCACTGTAGAGCTATGCTCTCCCGATGGTCTTCCATCCATTCCATCTGAGGGGCTGTAATCAACCTCAGTTGGGCCATTCTCTGTAGCACGTGAGTTGCCTCCCACAGATAGGTGTTCTGGGGATTGCTTACTGAAGTCCAGTGCTAAGGAGTGGTCAGGGGACTCCTGGCCAAACTCTATTGACATGGTAGAGTGCTCTGGGGATTTTGTGTCCTGCATCTGTGTTCTGCTTTTTGTCTTTGGTGAAATGTCTGGGGAGATAGACATGGGCCTTGGGCTATCTTCCTTGGATGGAGATCCCTCAGCCTCGTGGAAGGTGGTTGGGGTCTGAACTACAGAGACAGAGAAAGAGTCATCTACTTCTGTTGAGTGGGGAGAGCCTACCTCAGCATGAAGGGAAGGAGAGTCAGTGGTGGGTTCTGGAAAAGAGCTGGTGGCCAGAGAGGCGGTGGATGCTGAAGCTAAATGTGAAAATGTATCTTCTGCTACCACTTCTTCCAGAGGGGTTCCAGACTTGTCTGATGTGGTGCCCTCTGAAATAGACATTTTACTCTCTTCTTTGAAAGATGTGAAAGGATTAGTGTCTGATTCAAGTTTGGTTATTGGTGCTGAGCACAAGACTGCATGGCTGTTTTCTCCATTTTTCTTATGATCTATATCAAAGGGTGACTTTTCCTCCTTAGTTGGAGAATCAGCTTCAGATGAATGTGGGCTTTTTAGAGGTGACATTATCCTCTCTACAGGGGAGGAACTTTCTGGTTCTGGCTCGTAGGGCTCCGGGGTAACTCTATTGGAGGAATCCTCTTTATCACTTGTGACCTCAACAATGATTGGACCCAGTGCTTTATCTTCTGATACAGGTGGTAGAGCTCCTGCTTTTTCATCTACTGGTGACTGATAGTAAGGTGTGTGACCAGACGACTGAGGCGAGTTAGCTCCTTCCAGTGTCTTGTCATCTGGGCTGATAGAGGATTCAGCGGTTGCTCTGGCACAACCTGCAAGTGTGGTGGACAGCTCTATTGGCGCAGCAAATATTGATGGAGAATCAAATTTGTCCTTGCGATCCACTGAGGGTGAACGTACCAGAGGTGATGTTGTGGAAGTTGAACTCAGTCTAGCTGAGTCTGTGTCATACTTCTCACTTGATTCTTGGGTTGCGGCAAACCCCTCAGCCTTTGCTGGAGAGGGAAACTCCTTACAGAATTTATCCTCTTCTAGTGATGAAGGGGGAGATATTGTGGAAGCAGAGTGGTTGTAGTCCTGGCCTTCTGTGGCATCACTCTGAGAGTGATCTAACTCTAGCATATCATGATTTGGAGACAGCTTCTTCCTATCAAAATCTCCAGATGCGGATGTCCCAAACCTGCCAACATCCTGTGAGGGTGATTCAGTCTCATCATTCATGGTTTCATCACTCATAATGTCCCTAGGAGTCAGCATCTCATCCATTGGAGTAGGCACACTGGAGATCTCAATGGTGGACTGAGTGTGGCCAGAGGTGACTGTGTAATCCTCAGGTGGTTCATCTCTGTTCTCGTCATCCGAGGCTGTTGAGCTCTCAAAGCCAACTGGAAGCATTTCATCATGGATAGATGCAGCAGGAGAAACAGGTGAGGACACTTTGGGTGAGGTTGATACAAAAAGATCATGTTTCTCTGTTTCTCTCTCACTTATATGCTGACCATCTACATTTTTATTAGTCTCATCATCATTGTCTTCAACTCTATGTCCTGGTTTGACTTCATCATTTCTGTCTTGGTTTTCATCTTCACTGGGAGTGAGCTTATCTTTATCGTGTTCCACCTTCTGTGGTTCATAAACTTCTTCTGTCTCTCCCTTCTCTTCATAATCCCCTCCCTCGTACGTCTCCTCCATCACAGTGCCTTCATCTTCAAACTTTTCACTAACACTGCCATTGAGTTTTCCCTTAAGAACTTGTTCGTCTGGAGTCTCTCCATTGTCTCCTTCAGCCTCTGTTGTAGTAATACCCTCATCCACAGACTCTAATGCCTCAGGTGACTCTTTGGTTTGTATTATTTCTTCATGGTGGATCATCACAGCCTCTTCTTCCTTATTTTGTTGCACAGTCGCATCATCCTCCACCAGCTCGTCAGCTCTAAGCTCCTCAAAGTCCTTAGTGAGGTCCTCTGGTGAGGACATCAGAGATCTTTCTACTTCTGGATCCTCCGCAACAGCAGTTACACTAGCAGCAAGTTTGCCACTATCCACCTTAGTCTCCTTCTTTGTCACTTTTGACTTTCCCTTCTCTTTTAACTTTGACGGGATCCCTACGTCTTTCTTTGAGACATTGTCTTTTTTCAGTAGCTTTGGTTTTGGTGCTAGATTCTTTTCTTCACCCACAGTGGATGTCTTTTTTATGTCTTTAGATGGCCTTTTGACATCTTTCCTTAGCTCTTTCTTTTCTTCCTTCTTCTCCTTCATGGGTGAGTCTCTTCTGATATCTTTTTTAATCGCTTTCTTAGCCTCCTCTTTCTTGACTTTTTCATCCTTTCTAACATCTTGTTTGGGAGTTTCATCTTTTTTTGCCACTTCTTTCTTAACCTCCTTTTTCTTTTCCACAGACACTTTGGTCTCCTTCTTAAAAACCTTTTCCTTTTCAGTTTTGGGCTTTATTTCAGATTTCTTTTTCTCCGGAGTTTCATTTTGGGCTGTTTGCTCCGCCTTTGCATTTGATTCTTTCTCAGATGCCTTTGCCTTTTCCTTTTTCAGCGGAGCTTTTTCTTTTTTCTCTGTCTTCTGGGTTATTTCATGAGATGATTCTGCATCCATCTTTGCCTTTTCTGGTGCTTCCTCCTTTGAATCCTTCCTGATGCTTTTGATTGGTGATGGCTTTGGGGTAGACTTCAGGCTCTCTTTGCTGTCTGTTCTGTGTTTCATCTTAGCTTGCTTTAGTGTTGGTGTTGACGGCATAGCAGAAGACATTGCCTTTTGAGTGATAACTGGCTGCTTCAGAAAGTCCAAGTGTTTTAGCTTTTCTAAACCTTCAAAGATGTGATGCTGGGTGGCATTTCCAGGAAAGAGAACGCGCACAACTTTATCTGAGGGATTTGCAGGATGCCACACAATCAGAGACGAGATCGAAGTCAAGTAAGAGACAGGGAACTCAGATTCTTTTCCATTTGGCAGCAGGATGGAAGCAGTGTCTTTTTCACTACCTGTCCACTGCTTCATAAAATGTTGCATCTCCTTGCTGTTCTTTGATGGATTAAGCACATACATCTCAAGCTTCCCAACGCCCATTTTCTGAAAAAGTATGATTGGTTCTATAGTGTTTCCAACAGGCTTTTGCAAAGGCTCTATCCTCAAATTTAGCTTGGTGAGGAACTGCTGAGTAAATGCTGCCTCTTCAACATTCCTCCGCACTCTGTAATTAGGTTCAGGGTTATCCAGGTTTTCAGGAAGATTCACAAACACAACACCGATATCTGGAGATATCATGTTCTTCATCCAGTCACTGTTAGCTGTTGAACCCTGTGACTGTTCCTCCTCAAGCTCTGCAACCTTCCTCTGTAACATGCTATTGATGCCTGGCAGGTTGTCGTCACCAATGTGGGTCAGAAGGATGGAGTCCACCCTGTCCAAGTGTCTCACCAGCTTCCAGAAGCAAGACTTCCTGTCCGAGCCACCGTTAATGAGCATGTTGAAGCCATTGACAGCAAAAAGGGCTGAGTCACCTCGACCAGCAGGGAAAATGTAACAGCATGGTTTAGAGAGTTTGAGGAAACCACCTGAGGTTGGTGGTTCTAACATGTCAAAAGGAGATGGGATCTCTACTGATTCAGATAAATACTCTGTGAACTCTGAGAGGCCTTCCATTTCAGGGAGTATGAGAGTGGAGTTTAGTTTCATGTTAATGAAGTCCTGCAAGTTGTGTTTGTCCAAGTTGGAATTTTTCCAGTCGCCTTGTTCAGGGCAGGAGAGTGTAAGGTTGGCTTTGTTTGCTGGGTTAATGGTGCTGAGCAATTCACCAATCTGTGCATGACAAAAAGTAAGTGTCTTTAATTTTTAACATACTGAAGTAATATAATGAATAGTGTTTTGCAATTGCAGTTTCTGTATGTGTACATGTCTGTGTAGGCCTATATATATATATATATATATATATATATATATACCTGTACTGTATTTATATTAGTAAGTTTTAAGATTATTATGTAATGCTAGAATTGGAGCTATTAGAGAAGGCAACCATCGATGCTTTTTAAAGTTATTGAAAGGGTTTTACAGACACATAAAAAGAATGGAAGCCTTCCATTGCGGTAAAACATCAAAATCGCAAAAACTTATTATAGTTTTGATATACTAACATATATCAAAACTATTATATTACAGTGTTGTAGGTCATATAGAAAATGTGGGTGCTTACAAAAACAGTTATCATGTTAGCTCACCTCTTGGTCAGTGAATATGTCAATGAAGTTGAAGAAAGAGAAAGATCCGGACTGAAGAATCAGCTCCCCTGTGTTTTCAGAGCACTGCCCACAGAGTACCAGAAGCTTGTGTCTGGCAGTGTCTGAGATCATCAAACGAACCTGGTCAAAGAAGAAAATTACATTATTGTCTATGATAGAGTTCCACTGACTTTGGTAGAACGTAAATGGACAATGAGTTAAAGAAATACTGAGAAAAGCATGGATCACACTGAAAGATCTTGTATTTATTACAACTGCTTGGAAAGAGAAATAATACTTTACAATAATAATATTACTGGCTACAGAGACTGGGAATTTAAAGCCTTGATGCTGCAGCAATCAGCTTAATGTTTTAGTGCATCTGAAATATCACCAGTTTCACCTCACTCAAATCCATTAGTTAATTAGCTCACTTGTTCTTTTTGCTGTCCATTTCTGTGGGTCTATTTTTTCCTACTTCAGCAAACATCAGCTGTTATGGCAGGCTGGCCAGGTCAATCCTGCTGTGCTATGAGGTATTATTTTTGCACAGTTTGACTATAGACATGGCTAGGCGGAGGAAAGGAGCAGTGACACAAGAGAAAATCTTGTGTCATCTGTGTTTGTGACCCTCCTATGCCTTTTTTTTCTCCATCAAAATGCACCAAAAGCTTTACTGCAATAACAAAACGTTAACGGCTGTAGAGTAAACAAGGCATTAGTTGTGTCCCTTGGGCTCCTAATTGCTTTTAGTACAACCAACGGACACAAACAGCTGTTCATATTAAGAGGGTGGATAATTGGCCAAACATGGTGGACAGTCAAGGCTGAATAATGAATCTTTTCAAGCACTAATTGCTTTGTAATTGTGCACGTTAATAATGGATTTCTGAATCATCCATCCTTGATAGGATGGAAGATGAAATACCAAGTTGCAGAAATAATAATGTTATAATAATATAATAGATCGTCAACAACAATTAAAATAAATTTTACCTCAGTACTGACTGCTTCATCTGAAGGGTTGATAAGCACTACTGTCTCCAGGATATTGCTTTTATGGTGAAGAATTCTCTGACCTGCACAACAAAATAGAAAAATAGTTGCAATTGAAAAACTAACACTGCTAACTTCCCTCTGATAAGTTAATGAGATGTGTCACAATTTAGAGATAAAAGGATTTGTCAATAAAAATGTATTTTGTAACCAATTTTCACAATTTATAATCATTAATCAACTTGTTTTCAGCAAAATATGTCACTTTTAGTTTCTCAACAATGAGTTCCATTGTTCCAACAAAGACTTAGATAAGCTAGAAAGAGAGAATTTTTGGCAGTTTTGCTGAAACAAAAAAATATTCAAATGATTAATCGATTTTCAAAACAGTTTCTGATTAAGTTTATGAAAATCCACTAATCAGTCAATCAACTAATCATTTCAGCTCTCTAACTTGACTTCTTGAACTGAGCCCCTTTGAGATGAAAAACAATACAGACAAGACATTGATTATTTGCCACAGACCCGATAATTGTTTGGTTTCTCTGTACAGGGATTAAACATGGTTTGAGTCATATTTCCCCCTCATAATACAGAGTGGTTAATTAGAAAAGGAACAGTGGGGAGTGACGGGCTCACAATCAATCACCATAGGTTTTGGATGATTGATTATGATAATGAATTTGATCCCAGCTGATGAGAAATGGGCATGTCATCTCCACTGTAATTTATACCAACACATCAGGCTTTACTCACTCAACCCAACAGTCTGTCTTTGTTTCTTCTCCTTGTTATCAATTTTTTTTTTTTTAAATGCAGGAATCAATGAATTCCCCTAGAGCCAACTGAGAAAAGATTGGTTTTATTTTGTTACTTTATATCAATTTCTGCTGGTAAAAGAAAAAGGAAATGCTGGCACTACCATTCTGAGAATAAGACAAACAAGAATATGTTCCTTGTCAGATTCATAGGGCAAGGTGGTGTTCCTTGGATTTTGAATTTAATTTATTGAAGGATAGCCCTTTGAGAGGCAGCATCTCATTTTCAAGGGGGTCCTTGTACTTTAAATTCAAAAGCATTGTAGCGAAGACAGAGTGTGCCTCGTCTCCAGAGACATGATACTGCAGCATGCAGCTCTCTGGCTGCGGGGCCAATTCCTCCGTACATATTTCATATAGCAGATTCTCATTATGGAGCACATAGCCATTAACCCTGCCACTTCTTCCCAAAGGGCTGTCACTCCATATGGAATAACTCTTTCATTCACTGCTGTTAATAGTGAAGTGGCTCCTATCCAGTACATTACTATTAGCCTCTAATATTCTGGGGAGTTCAGTGAAAGTAGAAATAATGACTCCTGGTTAGGTTATTTCCGAGGCATTTGTTTGATATGGCAACTTGTTTTTTTTATGGAGTTAGTTGTCTGGAGGGGAAAAAATAGCATGTTTCATGTACATTCAATGTCAGGACAGGATGTCTAAATGACAAAAATGGCATGGTGGACAGTCAAGGCTTATACATTATAATTTTGCTTTTTTATTTGGGTAGGGGGAGGGTTTTCTACCTCTACCCAAGGTAGTCTTAAGATCTTGTTGTCTTAAGAACTTGTTGTCTCTTTTCATGTGAATAACAATGTCATATTTAAAATAAAATAATACTAAAGACTAAAAATAAAAGGTGCCACATGTTAGAAAACACCTGAGGGAATTGAGTGGTGGCTGATATTTAGCTCATAATGAAAAGTCAGATTATTGCTTCAAGTATAGGCATTACATCTATATAGCATTAGATAGAAATGTTTATTTTTAAAAGCAATTTAGCCTGTCAGTCTACATGTTTTCCTATTAAATACACATAAATAAAATTACGGCAATGATGGTATAGCCTAATTTCACTTTTTGAATGGCTTGCCATGAAATTTGGTACAAGCATTCAAAGCTCCCAGAGGAAGAATGCTAATGACTTTAGCAATCCCCTGACTTTTCTTCTAGTCCCACCATCACGCTGATATTTTAGTTTTTTAGTGACATATCTTGACATCTATTGAGTGGACTGCTATGCAATTTTGTTTAGACATGCATGATCCCCAGTGGAGCCACTAGCTGCGATACCAGCAGCAGGTTTAAGTTTCCACTTATCCTGAGAAATATCTCAACATTTACTTAATAGATTGGGAGAAAATAGACGCACATTCATGGTCCCTAGATGAATCCCAATTGCTTTTTCTCTAGTGCCACCATGAGATTGGCACCTGTACTTTACTTTTGAGTGAAATGTCTTGACAACTAGGTTAAATGTATTACCATGAAATTTTGTATGGACATTTATGATCCCCAGAGGATGAACGCCTTTTACTGGTGATCCCCTGACTTTTCCTGTTGTGCTATCAGCAGGTAAAGATTTCAGTCCTAAACTCTGGTTTATCACCAAATACCTGCAAAACTAATGTCATTCCCATCAACCTCAGCTGTACAGTTTGTAACTAAGATGGTAAATATGGTAAACATTACACCTGTTAAACATCAGGATGTAAGCATTGTTATTGTGAGCATGTTGTATGCTATCATTAGCACTTGTAATTAGCACTTGAATGTAATCAAGGTTAACACTTTTAAGATTGTAATGGTTTTATTTCAGATTTGATATTTGCAATCTTGCGAGTTTTTGTGCATCTGTTCAGTGTTCAGAGACCTTGAGATATGAACATAATGTTCTAATGAAAGCCTATTCCCTATGCATGTAGGCTACATTTTATTAACAGTCTGAAGTAGAGATTTGTGTCAGTGTAATACCACCATCATCAAAATCCCTGTTGACACTGGGAGAAACCAGCTTCACTCAGCTTTGTTCTGAATAGACAGCAGTCTTAAACTGATGACCAGAGTTCCTCCACAAGAACAAATGACTGAGGAAGTGGTTTTCAGTGGTCTGCTAAATGAGAGAACAATCAATCATAGACGTCTATCATTCATCCTGTTCAGGATACTGTACAAAAGCCATAACTGTAATTGCTAATGTAATGGAAATAATTCCTATTTTTCTTTGTCTCTCAGTGGGTTTCGCCACGCTTACTGGCCTTTTACGTGATGAAACAGAAAATAGAGTAGGCTGTAGATGTTAAGGACTAGCTACGAGGCAGCCATCACGCCACCAAATTGCTGTGTGTCTAAGCTACCTCGTCAAAAAATGACAGATTGTGCACTGGACCTTGATTTTCCCTGACAATTACCTTGATCGATATAAGCGTGAGGCAATGTAATGTGACATGCACCGCTGAGCATTCTCCTTCTGGCTGAATAGCTTAAAGTGCAAGACTGGTATAGCCTATCTGCCACAGACTGAACCAGACAGGGGAATCAATGTGGATGGCACCACACCAAAAATAGATCACTGGAACAACTAAATTCAGTGCCTCCTTCCTTTTACTTCAAAAAAAGACCTTGCACATAAGGATTATAACTTGATCTCCTCAGATGGATTCCCTGTATGTGTCAGCACCTCTTCCTCGCTGTCATTTAATTTTCTACCACGACAGAATAATTGGCCACGGTGACTTTCAGCTGCAAAGATCGGAGCCCTCTGAACACGGTTTTCAATGTCACTTGTTCTCGTGTCCCCACACAACTTGATTAAAAAGGGAACTGATATACGTAATATGTCTGGGCATGGAGCTAATGACACTGCAACTGCTGTTAAGCTGTCTGACTCACAGAAAAGTCAATCACCTGTGTCATAGTATTGATGCCTCTGATTTAAGCTCCTTTACAGCCTTTATCTTTCAGCAATAGCATGTCAAATCAAATGACCGGGTAAGAGTTAGACAATAATTACAACATAATTTTGTCTTTCCACATCCTGTTTGTCCCCTACTCTTCCATCTATCAAGAGGAAGGGCAATGCAGCTTGATACATGACTGATCAATCAACCTGCTTATTTACATCTACACAACCGACCAGTTAGCATCAACTGTTTAATAGACATCGAGAGAAAACAGGATTGTATTTGTGAAAAATAACAGGAGGACATTTATCCTGAACAAATTAATTTGTGAAAGTCAACACAGTTCTTTATTACTATTGATCAGCCAGCCTTTTAACTCCCCAGTTGCTGTCAAGGCTTCAGCGCTGTGTGCACTGCATGTAGAGTGCTGGAAAATCTATATGTAACCAAAAGTATCATATATCCATCAGGGAGACACCAGGGCTCTCCTGTCTTGCCCCTTTTTTCCTTCTTTCACCTCCTCACTGTGCAGTCCATGCTTCCTGTGCACTAATGCAGTGTGACTGATGACATGTCATCTATCATGCAGACAGATGATTGCATTTGTACAATATATATTATACAGTACCACCTACTGGTTTGTGTGTTCCTGTAAGCACTGAGCTCTAATAAATTAATGCACTACAAGCTAACAGTAAACATAGTTACTACAACTAATGTTCACACGTGGAGGAAGAACAAGAGAAGACTGGAGGATGGTGAAATGGTAAAAAACAAAGTGGGATGAAAGGGATAAGGGATTTAGAGTCTATTTGAATGCTATTATAGATACATCACCATGTTTCACCTCCCTCTAAACCTATTGTATTTCACCTCTTAATCCCAATGCTGAGATTTGATACAGGACAACGTATTACTGCATTAAAATACATCACCTGATTTAGTCTGCAACAGCAGTTGTTGCCTGGATCAATCTATTGTAAAGTATGAAGCCCTGCTGGTCATATCCAATCATACCTTATATAAAGTTGGCAGCTCACCTTCCTAATCAACCATCTTCTTCTCCTGAAAAAATACACTTATCATTTGATTGGTGCAAATTTACAGACTTAAAGGAATAGTTATAATAGCTTAGTTAGCTTAGCTTAGCATAGAGAGTGGAAACAGGGTGAGAGAAATAGTTAGCCTGGTTCAGTCCAAAAGTTACAAAATCTACCTACCTATCCACCATGAACTTCCTTAAATCTCTGACAAGACTTTAGGAAGCTCAAGGCCAAGAAATACACTTTTTGCGAGATCGTTTTTGTACAGATTAAACCAACGAGAACATGTTCAATTGTGAGCTTTGGAGATACTGGTAGGTGTAGTTTGTTACCTTTGGACTGAGCCAGGCTAGCTGTTTCTCCTCGTTTTTATGCTAAGCGAAGCTAACCGGCTGCTGGCTGTAGATTCAAATTTAGCAAACAGATATGACATCATCTAACTCTCAGAGAAGAACATGAATACACACATTTCCTAAAAATGTCAAACTATTGCATTACAACTGTCAGAACTGCCCTTAAAAAACATAAAATATGTGTCAGTGTAAAGCCAAATTAGTTTTCTAGAAAGCTGCCAAGTCTTGGCTGCATTAATTCACTGATCAGAACTGCATTTCTGTCTATGTGTTGCAATGTTGTTGATTTTTATACATACGATATGTGTTCCTCTTCCTACCTCATCCCCCTCTTTCCCTTGCTCCCTTTCTTTCTTTTCCCCTCACCCTCTCCGTTCTCCGAGTCCTCTCTGTTCCCCTCCCTTCTTTATTTTCATGGACAGACGCGAGCCACTGGGGATTCTACACTGCTAATTACTCCCGAATCAACTGTGCATCTCGTACTGCTGTTGCAAGGCAACAGCACACGTGGAGGAAGAACAAGAGAAGACTGGAGGATGGTGAAATGGTAAAAAACAAAGTGGGATGAAAGGGATAAGGGATTTAGAGTCTATTTGAATGCTATTATAGATACATCACCATGTTTCACCTCCCTCTAAACCTATTGTATTTCACCTCTTAATCCCAATGCTGAGATTTGATACAGGACAACGTATTACTGCATTAAAATACATCACCTGATTTAGTCTGCAGCAGCAGTTGTTGCCTGGATCAATCTATTGTAAAGTATGAAGCCCTGCTGGTCATATCCAATGTGGAGCCGAGCCAAGCAGAGGCTTTACTGTAAGTGCTTCTGACCGTCGAGGCCATACTGCCACAGACAGACCACATGTCCTGCCACACTGGATCTGTTCCATCTTTATAGAGCCTCTCCCTCACCTTGCAAATGATGCAGCTATAAAAGCACCATGCAACAAAATGCTGAAAAGGCGTATTCAAGGATATGTAATAAAACCCCTCTGCTTAATGTACTGCACAGAAGTTACAGCTGTGACAGCATACGCTGCTGGAAAGTGCAGTGGAATGTAACTAGTATATATAATCTGTAAGTATATTTACTCAAGTATTGTACAGTTTTGAGGTAATTCTACTTTACTTGAGTATTTTGATGTTCTGCTTCTTCTTAATATTGTACTTTTTACTCCACTATTTTGATTATTTTTCATACAAAATAAATGCAGCTTTTAAAATGCTATTAACTGTTTAGAGAAAAACAAATCACAGTCTTATCAAGTCATTTTAACCTGTAATTTAAGTTTCATTTTCTTCTGAATCTAAAGATCTAGTGGGAATATTTAACTATAACTATTAAGTTTTTCTAATATCAAAATTCTGGTGCCACAACCTGACATATTTTGTCTCGTTACACATACTACAAATACATTTGCAGGACATTTTTTGAATATTTGAATTAAATACACTGAAATATTCATATAAACTGCCCATCACTTAATAATAACCTCAACCAACCACCTGCTCATGTATTAATGCAACAGTAATGACATTCCTATAGTATATACAACATAGTTTACACAATGATTACTTGAAACTTTAAGTTTATTTGGCTATTACTACTCATGTTTTTACTTAGGTAACATTTTGAATGCAGGACTTACAGGACTATGTTTACAATGTTGTACTATTACTTTTACTTAACTAAATGATCTGCATACGTCTTCCACCACTGGAAAAGTGTGTGTCTCAGGTTTTGTTAAGGATGCAATGGATGCCATTAGAAACATATTAAGGCATTAACCAGACTGCTATTGTGAAATTGTCAGTGAAAATGCCTCCAGTTTACCTCTGACATCTGCAGAGAAACGAGCTGAGTGTCTAGAGACAAACAGCTTGAGTTCCTGGTCCAGGTTGCAGTCAATAAGGTTGGTGTCCCATGAGCGGATCCCTGTAAGATAAACAAACATACACGCACACACACACACACACACACACAACAAAAATAAATCAACAAGAAAATAAAAAAGTAAGGAGAAGGAATGACACCAGCAAATAAAAACATATGTTAGTGCCGCTGTCTGAAAAGGAATCGATGCACACGGCAGACATTGCACTGACTGCTTGGCAGTAGGTCTAACAAATGTGCAGTCTCAACCTCACGCATCTATTTTGCCGATCCTTTGCCTCCAGTTCACTGGAAAATCTTATAGTGAACATGGATAGACTTGTTACTGGTTTGGCATGACAAAAGAAATCTATAATAGGAAATATCTATAGCCGTGTTTCTGTTTTGCCATGGGCCAGACACACTGGGCTGAGTCATGGTGCGAACATCCTCTCTTCATAGTTATGCAGAGTAAAGGTCTACTGAAGGCCTCTGTAAAGTTAGGTGATGACATGAACTGGGAATAGAAGAAAAATGACATAGAAGTGTTTTTTTCTGCGAGGTAAATTGCACACAAAAGGAGGATATAAATGTTTATTTCACTCACAGTTTGATTTGTTGAAAGGGTATTCATTACAACAGTAGGAAAACGAAGGGCGTGGCAATAACATAAGACCATGAATCAATTAACATGAGCCTCAGTGATGATGAAGATGATAAAATGTAGTTTTTCTTTGTCATAAACTACGATAGGAGTGAGAATAATTTCACGTTAATACAAAATACATTTTTAAAAAATGAAAAGAGTCAATAAAAACTCAAATTCAAGAATAAAAGAAAGAACCCTTACAACTTCACAAAAACTGAGAAAACTCCATCTGTGGAGGAAGACTGTGTGATACAACCGAAAGCTACTAAAGGTAGATTTCTTCAAAACACACAAGGTCAAGAGCAAACTTTCAGTCTCAAGGTGTGACATAGTTATGGCCAACATACTAATCTATTGAATTACTAAAATAATAGAAAAATAAAATGGAGGACTGTGACTGTGACAGGTTAAATTGTAATTGGTGATACTAAAACACAATCATTTTAATTTCTAAAACGCAGCTTTTTAATCACAACTGATCTGTCCTACTTCCTTTATTAAAAAAAAAAAGAAACCTCACTTGATTTTACACCTGTATAAAACAACACCATATTCTCCCCTGTGCTGTCCTCTCTCACACAAACAGTACTCATGCCTGAGAGACAGGCCACCACAGGAGCTGTGGCATTTCTAAAACGCCCTGTTCAGTTTGAAAATCGTTCCTTCTGGCTTTCCGTAGGGACCGCAGTGCGGACTGAGCCACGCCCACCAGCCGGTAAGAGATGAGAGAGCTGGGAGCTGGATGCAGGATGATGATGATGATGATGATGATGATGATAGAGCGATGTTCCCACAGGATCAACAGGAAATGAATGTATATTCTGTTATCATAGCCAAGCAATCATTTCAGTCTCAGAAAACAGAGCGCATTTAATCATCTTTGTCAGAGAAGGCAAGCTTTCTTCCAAAACAACACAAAAAGAGAGAAAGCTGCGGCAAACCGTACCGTTGTCTCTTCCTGACTGTCGGCTAAACTAATGCGCGGGACCCTCCTTTCCTGTAATAAAAGCCTGACGCACCTGAATAAAGCCTGGCAAGGTGCTGTTGGAGAAAAAAACGCAGCTGCACTGGAGCCAAAGAAACAATATACGCTGCATTATTGACGCATTGTCCAGATGTAATGCTGAATCATTGTTGTCAGCTTCATTGGAGGACCTGCCCCACATGTGTAGATGGCAACAGTTGGGCCTACTGACATTGATATGACAAAGGAAAAAACAATTATACTGCGCTAAACTGCTCCTAAACATAGTGGATGGGTGGTACCTGTGGGTTACAAGATTTGAGATGAGATTTGGAGATCTGGAGATAACTGCTTATGTTACTGGGAGGGGCCGTCCAGTGTCCTCATTATGAACAACATCACTTCTAGTACAAATAGTTACTTGATAATTAGGGTTCACATATTGTGAATGGCTCACTTATGTGCATAATTCGCTCACGCATAATCCATCGTGCGTAAAATCCGGCGTTACTAACAGGTGCATTGGCAGCCGATATGACTTTTAAAGCTATAAGTTGAACTTAGCTGTTTTATACATCTCTGTTCAAGTTGTTATGAAGATGTTAAGTTCAGCTCTCGATAGCCTACACCCACCCCAGGAAGCTCCATCTTACCTTTCTCTATGTCTGCAATGGCACACTTTAGGTGATCCTCCGTTAGGATCTCCCCGATAGCCACCAGCAGGTAAAATTTGCTGTCGTTGAAGTGCTGCGACGGGCTGGAGGATGTCGGAGATGTCCCGGTGTTGCTTTGGCCGCCTAAAGTCTCCATATCTGCAGATTCTACCAGGGTGGCCATCCTCTCCTCTCTGTCTCTCTATCTCTCTCTGGTATCCCCCTCACAGACGCGCAGGATCCCAACAGCAGCCTCCTCCCTTTATTCGCCGCAGAGCACCGGAGTGGTCTCCAGACATGCAAGTGGAGCCTAGATAGGAGTGGCCCTAGCTTTTTATACCAGGAGACATTGTGTCATATTCAGTAACCGGGGAGAGAAGAGGGCGCCGGGGTTTTTTTCCGCACACTCATTCCACAGCTGATGTCATCCGCAACGAATCAAACGCCACCGGAAGTCACTGAGATTTGATGCTTTGTATTGTAGCTACATATTCATCAGTGCTAGGCTCCTTAATACTTGTCACTCATTACAAATAACCCGTTAGACAGCTACACGTTTGACGTGGTGGGGACTTAAATATTATTAGGATTATTTTTGCACTTCTAAATAAACCACTTTAACCCCTGCAAAAAAACAAACAAACAAAAAAACAATACAAAGTATACAAATACAAAATACAAAAATATATTTTTCTGGATTTAAGAGGTGTTAGGTGTCTGTACTAGAGTATGCTCTGCAAGGAAAGGCTTCATAAATGATTCTCACGCAGATACCCTTGGCTTTCTCTCTTTTGTTTTATCTCAAAACAACAACAAACGTAATTGTGACCCCCCCCCCCCCCCCCCCGAAATGATGGGGAGCAGAATGGCTGTGAGACTGATGACACATGAAAATCACTTTGGACAAGGCTTTTCTGTATTGATTTTACATGCAAAAACTGTGACTGTTAACTCACTGTGTTTTTGTATTGATGTTTTCTGAATAAAGCACATCAAACTGAAATTTTTAAAGGGGCACTTGAATTGCATTATGGGAAGTGTGGGTTCCAGCATTTTCTTTAGCCTCACCCCTTAGAGACAGTAGGACATCTTGGCCTCTGCTATGCCAGTTTTTACCACTGCAATCTATTTTTGTCATTGGTGTTAAAAAGGGTTTAAGATCAGTTTTCTGAGGATATTTTTTTTCAGAGATGATGCTCCTGTAAATATGATCCCAGAGTTTTATTCTCTGTATATAACTTAATGTCTGGCAAAATGGTTGCTTTGTTTTAATAATGTTGACACAAAGGTAGGGTAAGATGTCTAATTCTGGGCGACACTGTATTGTTTTTATTTTTACTCCACTTCAATGCCACAGTTTTGTACATACTATGCAATTAAATAAAGTAATTATTGCATACAAATACTGTAGTAGCATTTGGGTGGCATTATTGTTCTTTAATCCCAAGACCTATGAGTAAAGTTTTTTGTATCTAATCTAATTTAATTTTAGTTTTAGAATAATTCAGAGTAAGAGTATTCAGAGTAATTCACTGTCTGGAGATGGGGTTAATAACTGATAAACATCACCACTAATTCATTATAAGCATTATAAGCATTATTGCTGAAATTGTATTACTTTGTTTTATTGTTTTTACAGGTCAACTAGACATTTGTTTATCATGATATATGGCATCTTTGGTTAATTTCTTTAAAATACTTTTGATTGATAGATACATTTCTTCCAACATTACCACAGCACATTGAAAATATTACAAAATCAGATATGACAATATCAGAAATTGACCCAAGCATTGTCCAAATATGATGTTTCTCTGTGTAGTCACTTAACCCTATGAATAAATTGTTTTGCTGCTAACCATTCCAGTGTTCTTCATATAGAGATGATAGACATAGAGGTCTGATCACAGAATCCAACTTTGATCTTACTCATGCTGGGCCCTCACAGTCTACTATGGAGTTTCAAAGAGATTCACTTGAAAAAAAATCTCTTTGATTGTAGAAAGCTTCCATCTAACAAAAAGCAAGTTTTTATATGAAAGTAATATCGAATCAGAGGGAGGGTTAAAGATGGACAACTACAAATGGATTGCAAATGAAAAGAACAGAGATCACAGGATTCCAGTTATATTTTACTCGAAAGGAAACCGCGTGTGTGTGTGTGTGTGTGTGTAGATGTTAAATGCAGTTGGCAGCGAAAAATTATGATATAAACATAAAAGATGTTCAGTTTCCCCAGGAGGGTAATCTAAAGTAGCAGCTGAAACTGTGTCCTCTGTGAAAGCAGACTGACTTCAGAACTGTAGCACACTGTTGCAAGAACAAACATCACAAATTGACAGAGACAGCAGAGGATGCATAGACACAAAAGGACACACACACACACACACACACACACACACGCAAACCTTGACTTTCATGCTGGATTTCCCTCTGGCAGGCACTGATGTGATTTGATTTCATGGATGGGGTTACTGCAGGTGCGTTATTGACTTTAAAAGGGCTATCAGGAACAGGAGTCCACTCAGCAGCTCCTGGATGTGAATATTTCAGGGCTTTTGTGGCCTGGTGGGCTGGGCTCAGTCATATTCTCCTAAGGCCATGGGAGGTCGAATCAAACATTCATCATACACAGCTGGGAAAGAAGAACGGCATTAAAAATACAACAGGCTGCCACCAAAAGTCTCCCAGACAGACAAGGATGGGATGAGCGTGTGTGTGTTGTTTTCAGGAGGAGGATTGATGGATGAGATCGCTATAGGATGTTGCTTGCACACATGTTTTTTGTCCGTGTGTACACAGGCAGTTCAAAAACACATGGAGCATGGAAGGATTTTAATAATTCAAAAACCTTAAACCCTTATGGGTCTTACAAAACATCAAATCCTGTGATGCCTCAGGTCACGTATAAAAACAACAAAGAAATGAGATTCACTGGGTTGAGTCTGGAAACCAGAGAGATTTATTCAGCAAAGAAACATAGGACGACATACAGTAAAGAGAAAGAGAAAGACTTGCACAGACAACAGTTATTTGTTAGGACAAAATGATGTGAACACTTAATTAAAAGGGATTTTACCATAGTGTGTTATATGTCTTTCACATTGTTGACTATCCTGTCTGGTATCTAGTCTGTTTGGAGGTGTTGATGATTTTCAGTACTGTTTTAAAATAATTTTGCAGCTGGTTTTAACAATGCACCTGCTCTGCCAGTACTCTCTTTGTTCTCTCATGTTGCTTTGAAAATTCACATATCAAAGTGCTGCTTGCCACACCTCTTTCAGCTGGCAAATGCTGCTAATTGACATTCAACCAATGTGACACACCTAAACAGTGTTTTTAAGTCAGATTGACTTCAGTGTTAGCAAAGTACAAATGTTGCGTGAAAACTCCTTCAGGGTTAGTCATTTTCTTCTATTTTGCATACTGCTCAGTGTGGCTTTTGTTCCTTTCACAGCACTGAAACTCCACTCCACCAAAGTAAATGTTTTTTGTTTTATATTAATCCTACTTGGTTTGATTTCTGTATTTGATTCTGTGTTCATGTAGCATTTTTAATTGCTTAGAAAAAACTCACTTTATCAGAATTGTACCATTTTTAACCAGCTTTTAAATTTTGTATGCGCCTCATTGTTGTACTGTTTTATGCTTTTTTATGTTCTACCTTCAAAATATATTCAGATTACTTAGTTTCTTGCTTACTATTTGTTTTACTGTTATGCACCTTCTTTTCTAAACGCTGTTTAAATGAAAGTGAAAATAAAGTTCTTATTATAATTATATCACATGAAAATACCCACCATGCTTACTGGAGCTGCACTTGCAATAAGTTAGCCGCAAGATATTCCTCACTCAAATTTATTAATGACAAATACCTGTAAAGCAACATAATAACATCTAATATGACAGGGTTATTTTCATGATCTGTTGGCATAGAAACAGCCATCTGCCCTGATTTGGCATGGGGCCGCAATTAGACCTTATTGCCATGGTGCTGCTCAATCGAGAGAGTGGGTTTGTGGGTAAAAGGCTAAAACATCTTTTCACTGGCTGCGTCTCGCTGGCTCCTGCTGTGCAGAGTTGGCACATGATGTTCATAATGGCACACATGTGCTTACCAGTTATTAACATTTATATTAATTAAGATATCAAATACATTTATTTCATTCATACAATGTAATTGCTACAAATCTCTAGACCTTTAACATAGCAGTAAAAGCAAAAGTGTAACTAAAAACATTTAATTTAGGTCTCCCAGTAAGTCATGCAAATGCAAACAACCACAATGCCAACGCCCAGCAGTAACCATGTGTTAAGTAAAACCATTCACCTTGAGAAAGGTTGATTTGCACTGCATCTTTATATTTCAGATTTCACATGCGTGTTTGAGTTACAGTGGTTAAATCTCCTAAACTGTTTTATTTGTTATTCAGGGAAGGAAATTAAGGATCAACTGTCAAGTGGTTGAAAGTAACTCAAGTAGGCTATTGTAAGAATTGTTTTATATATATTGCTTTGTAATTGTAAAGACAAAAATCTTGCTTTTTACTCTATGCATGCATTTATGATACATTGCTGTAATTATTTTATTTTTGATCATTTAAGAACATTTTGCTGAAAATACTGTATTCTTCCTAAAGTAAGATTCTGAATGAAAAGGATCACTTGACACCGACATTGACTCCTCCATCACATCCATAGTCTTCTCTTAAACAGCTATACCAGTCTTTTGTTTAAATTATAACATACTTACAACACTTCCCTGTGTGCATTAATTAATAAATATGGATCTTGAAGCAAACACAAGGACACATTTTCCTAGAGCAGAAAGCACAGGTGCACATTTACACTCCATCTCTGAGGAGTCCCTCGCTCTGCCCTACTGGGTATATCTGTGGTATTTCTCTGGGCCAGCCTACACCCTGCCGAGCTGACAACACCAATGTGTCACCCCATTGTGTCTGTGTGTGTGTGTGTGTGTGTGTGTGTGTGCATGAGTGCGTGGGTGTCTGGTCATGTAATTGACTGAGAGAGACAGAAACAGAGAGGCAGAGGGGAAGTGATCAGTTCAATCAATCAAAGTTCATATGATCACAGTGAGAGTGTTACAGTTATGACAGTATATAATTCAGTATATCAAACATTTACCTTTCTATTTTTGCCAGACTCTGTCCTGTCCAGCACTGTGTCCAGACATTGAATTTGTTGAAAATACCAGACAGAAAATAATAGTGTCTGACCTGTTTTTCTGGACACGACTCACAAAGACAAGCTAACTCTGTGCACAGCAGTAGGAGTGTGTGTGTGTGTGTGTGTGTGTGTGTGTGTGTGTGTGTGTGTGTGTGTGTGTGTGAGTGTCTGAACCAAATGAACCCTGTTGTGTCTGTTTTGGACTCCTGCTGGGCACAGAACATGGCTGCCTAGATTTCAGA